ACATTTTAGGGGCATTTTGGGGGGTTTGGGGACACTTTGGGGACACTCTGGGGACATTTTGGGGGGTTTGGGGACACTTTGGGGACACTTTGGGGGAATTTGGACATTTTGGGCACAACTCAAATCCATTTTGGGGACGTTTTAGGGGATTTGGGGACACTTGGAGGGGTTTGGTGACACTTTGGTGACACTTTTTTCCCACAGACCCCCACCACGGCCACGCCCACCACGGTGAGACCCCCCAGGGTGACCCCGGTGTCATTTTGGGGACATTTGGGGACAATTTTGGGGCCGTTTCGGGGGCGATTTGGGGACACGGTGACAATTTGGGGACACTCAGTGACATTTGGTGCCAATTTGGGGACAATCTGGGCCATTTTGGGGCTTTTTGGTGCCATTTTGGGCCATTTTGGGGCTTTTTGGTGCCATTTTGGGCCATTTTGGGGCTTTTTGGTGCCATTTTGGGCCATTTTGGGGCTTTTTGGTGCCATTTTGGGCCATTTTGGGGCTTTTTGGTGCCATTTTGGGCCATTTTGGGGCTTTTTGGTGCCATTTTGGGCCATTTTGGGGCTTTTTGGTGCCATTTTGGGCCATTTTGGGGCTTTTTGGTGCCATTTTGGGGCATTTTGGTGCCATTTTGGGGCTTTTTGGTGCCATTTGGTGCCATTTTGGGTCATTTCGGTTCCATTTTGGGCCATTTTGAGCCCATTTCGTGCCATTTTGGGACATTCTGGGTCCATTTCGTTGCCATTTGGAGCCATTTTGGGACATTTTGAGCCCATTTGTTGCCATTTTGGGGCAAATTTGGGGCATTTTGGGTCTGTCTGGGTCCATTTGGGGCCATTTTTGGGCCATTTTGAGCTATTTTGGGTCCGTTTGGTGCCAATTTGAGCCCATTTGGAGCCATTTTGGTCCATTTTGGGTCCGTTTGGTGCCAATTTGAGCCCATTTGGAGCCATTTTGGTCCATTTTGGGTCCATTTGGGGCCAATTTGAGCCCATTTGGAGCCATTTTGGTCCATTTTGGGTCCAATTGGGCCATTTTGAGCCCATTTGGAGCCATTTTGGTCCATTTTGGGTCCATTTTGGGCCATTTTGAGCCCATTTGGAGCCATTTTTGTTCATTTTGGGTCGAATTGAGCCATTTTGAGCCCATTTGGAGCCATTTTGGTCCATTTTGGGTCCATTTTGGGCCATTTTGAGCCCATTTGGAGCCATTTTTGTTCATTTTGGTGCCAATTTGAGCCCATTTGGAGCCGTTTTGGGTCCATTTTTGTCCATTTTGGGTCCGTTTGGTGCCAATTTGAGCCCGTTTGGAGCCATTTTGGTCCATTTTGGGTCCATTTTGGGCCATTTTGAGCCCATTTGGAACCATTTTTGTTCATTTTGGTGCCAATTTGAGCCCATTTGGAGCCGTTTTGGGTCCATTTTTATCCATTTTGGGTCCGTTTGGTGCCAATTTGAGCCCGTTTGGAGCCATTTTGGTCCATTTTGGGTCCATTTTGGGCCATTTTGAGCCCATTTGGAACCATTTTTGTTCATTTTGGTGCCAATTTGAGCCCATTTGGAGCCGTTTTGGGTCCATTTTTATCCATTTTGGGTCCGTTTGGTGCCAATTTGAGCCCGTTTGGAGCCATTTTGGTCCATTTTGGGTCCATTTTGGTCCATTTTGGGTCCATTTTGGGCCATTTTGAGCCCATTTGGAGCCATTTTGGGTCCATTTGGATCCATTTTGGGTCCGTTTGGTGCCAATTTGAGCCCGTTTGGAGCCATTTTGGTCCATTTTGGGTCCATTTTGGGCCATTTTGAGCCCATTTGGAGCCATTTTTGTCCATTTTGGGTCCATTTGGGCCATTTTGAGCCCGTTTGGAGCCATTTTTGTCCATTTTGGGTCCATTTTGGGTCCGTTTGGTGCCAATTTGGGTCCGTTTGGTGCCAATTTGAGCCCATTTGGAGCCATTTTGGTCCATTTTGGGTCCGTTTGGTGCCAATTTGAGCCCGTTTGGAGCCATTTTTGTCCATTTTGGGTCCATTTGGGCCATTTTGAGCCCATTTGGAGCCATTTTGGGTCCATTTTGGGCCATTTTGGGTCCGTTTGGTGCCAATTTTTGTCGCTGGCTGGGCAGGGCAGGCTCTGGCCGTGGGGCTCTGGGTCCTGGCAGGAATCGTCACCTTCCTGGGGGTGGAGCTGGGGGTCCGGCACTGCGGCGGCCACGGCCACGGTGAGACGGGGCGGAAAGGGGATTTTGGGGGAAAAAATGAGGATTTTGGGAAAAAATCGTGGATTTCGGGACAAAAATTGGGGATTTGGGGGAAAAAATTGGGATTTTGGGGGGGGGGAATTGGGATTTTGGGAGGGAAAAATGGGATTTTTTGGGGGAAAAATGGGATTTTTGGGACAAAAATTTGGATTTTTTTATGGGGGAAAAGAGGATTTGGGGCAAAAATGGGGATTTTTGGGAAAAAAATTGGATTTTTGGGGAAAAATATGGGGATTTGGGGAAAAATATGGGGATTTGGGGGGAAAAATGGGGATTTTGGGGGGGAAATGGGGATTTGGGGGAAAATTAGGATTTTTGGGGGAAAAATTGGGGGTTTGGGGGGAATATTGGGATTTTTGGGGGAAAAACAGGTATTTTTGGGAAAAAAATTGGATTTTTGGGGAAAAAATTGGGGATTTGGGGGGAAAAAATGGGATTTTGGGGGGAAAAATTGGGATTTTGGGACAAAAAATTGGGGATTTTGGGAGAAAATTAGGATTTTGGGGGGAAAAAATGGGGATTTGGGGGAAAAAATGGGGTTTTGGGGCAAAAATTGGGATTTTGGGGGGGGGAAGGGATTTGGGGTGGATTTCGGGGATTTTTGGATGGATTTTGGGCTGATTCGGGTGGATTTTGTTGGATTTTGGGTGGATTTGGGTGGATTTTGGGCAGATTTGGGTGGATTTTGGGTGGATTTTGGGCTGATTTGGGTGGATTTTGGGCGGATTTGTGGGATTTTGGTGGATTTTGGGCAGATTTGGGTGGATTTTGGGCAGATTTGTGGGATTTTGTTGGATTTTGGGTGGATTTTGTTGGATTTGGGTGGATTTTGGGCAGATTTGGGTGGATTTTGGGTGGATTTGGGTGGATTTTGGTGGATTTTGGGTGGATTTGGGTGGATTTTGGGCAGATTTGGGTGGATTTTGGGCGGATTTTGGGCTGATTTGGGTGCATTTTGGGCGGATTTGTGGGATTTTGTTGGATTTTGGGTGGATTTCATTGAATTTTGGGTGGGTTTCATTGGATTTTGGGTGCATTTCATTGGATTTTATTGAATTTTGGGTGGATTTAATTGGATTTTGGGTGAATTCTGTTGGATTTTGGGTGGATTTCATTGGATTTTGGGTGGATTTTGGATGGAATTTGTTGGATTTCATTGGATTTTGGGTGAATTTTGTGGTTTTTTGGGGCGGCAGGCCACAAAGCCAAGCACAGCTCCAGCGAGGACGAGGCCGACGGTGACCCCGGGGCCACCAAGGCCACCAAGGGGACCAAGGGGACAAAAGGCACCAAAGCCACCAAGAGCCAGCGCAGGAGGAGCCCGGACGGGGAGAGAGCCGGTGAGGGGGGGATTTGGGGGGAAATTTGGGGATTTTGGGGGGGATTTGAGGGGATTTGGAGACGTTTGATGGGATTTGGGGGTGTTTGGGGGGGATTTTGGGACACTGGGGGGGATTTTGGGGTGATTTGGGGAGGATTTGGGGACGTTTGGGGGGGATTTGAGGGGATTTGGGGACGTTTGGGGGAAATTTGGGGACATTTTGGGGGGGATTTGGGGGGATTTGGGGATTTTTGGGCAGAATTTGGGGACTTTGGAGGGGATTTGGGGACTTTGGGGGGGATTTGGGGACTTTGGGGAAAATTTGGGGATTTTTGGGCGGGATTTGAGGACTTTGGGGGGGATTTGAAGGGATTTGGGGACGTTTAGGGGAAAATTGGGGATTTTTGGGCGGGATTTGAGGACTTTGGGGGGGATTTGGGGACCTTGGGGAAAATTTGGGGACTTTTGGGGGGATTTGAGGACTTTGGGGGGGATTTGGGGACTTTGGGGAAAATTTAGGGACTTTTGAGGGGGTTTGGGGACATTTGGAGGGGATTTGGGGATATTTGGGGGGGATTTGGGGATTTTTGGAGGGGATTTGGGGACGTTTAGGTGGGAATTGGGGACATTTTGGCAGATTTGGGGACATTTTGGGGCGATTTGGGGTGATTTTGAGTTATTTTGGGGATAATTTGGGACCACTTTTAGGGAATAATTTGGGGTGATTTTGGGTCAGTTTAGGAATGATTTAGAAGTGATTTTGGGACCAATTTGGGGTCACTTTGGGCCAATTTGGGGTCACTTTGGGGGTAAATTTGGGGTCACTTTGGGGATATTTGGGGTCACTTTGGGGGTAAATTTGGGGTCACTTTGGGCCAATTTGGGGTCACTTTGGGGGTAAATTTGGGGTCACTTTGGGGATATTTGGGGTCACTTTGAGGGTAAATTTGGGGTCACTTCGGGGTCAATTTGGGGTCACTTTGGGGTCAATTTGGGGTCACTTTGGGGGTAAATTTGGGGTCACTTTGGGGCCAATTTGGGGTTTCTTTGGGGGTAAATTTGGGGTCACTTTGGGGTCAATTTGGGGTTTCTTTGGGGGTAAATTTGAGGTTATTTCAGGGCCAATTTGGGGTCACTTTGGGAGTAAATTTGAGGTTATTTCAGGGCCAATTTGGGGGTAAATTGGGTCACTTTGGGCCAATTTGGGGTCACTTTGGGGGTAAATTTGGGGTCACTTTGGGGTCAATTTGGGGTCACTGGGAGTAAATTTGGGGTCATTTCGGGGCAAATTTGGGGTCACTTTGGGCTAATTTGGGGTCACTTTGGGGGTAAATTCGGGGTCACTTCAGGGCCAATTTGGGGGTAACTTGGGGCTGATTTTGGGCTTAATCGGGGTGATTTTTGGGCACAGCCATGGCGGTATCGGGGTACCTGAACCTGGCAGCCGACGCCGCCCACAACTTCACGGACGGGCTGGCGCTGGGAGCGGCGTTTTGGGGGAGCCCGGCCCGGGGGGCTCTGACGGCGCTGTCGGTGCTGCTGCACGAACTTCCCCACGAATTGGGGGACATGGCCCTGCTGCTGCGCGCCGGCTGCTCCAAGGGACAGGTGACCAAAAAATCCTGGAATTCGGGGAAAAAAATCCGGGAAAAAAACGGGAAAAATCTGGGGGGGGGGGAAAAACGATGCTGGAGGACCAACCATAGAGTTGGGTGGTGGGTAGGGCAGAGCGCCCCCAAGCGGATGGTGTCGTCTCGGTGGTTACTTCCGGTGCCGCCATATTGGGAGGGGATTGGTGGTGAGGCCACGCCCCCCCTCTCTGTGGCTCCGCCCACTTCTGCAAGCCACGCCCCCTTCCCGATTTTGGGCGGGAATTTTGGGGAAAGATCCAAAGGATTTTTAAAGGGATTTTGGGGGGGGTTTTAAGGAAATTTTAAAGGAGTTTTAGGGGAGATTTTTGGCGGTTTTGATGGAATTTTAGGGGGGGGATTTTGGGGGAATTGCAGGAAAAATTTCCAGGAATTTTAAGGGAATTTCGGGCTGGATTTGGGGGGAATTCCGCGGGATTTCGGGAAAACTTGGCGGGATTTCGAGAGGGATTTGGGGGCTGGATTTTGGGGCAATTCTTTGGGATTTGAGGATGGATTTGGGGTAATTTTGTGAGATTTTGGGGCAGATTTGGGGCTGAATTTGGGGATAATTTTGCAGGATTTTGGGCTGAGTTTTGGGGCTGGATTTGGGGTTATTTTTTTGGGATTTGGGGCTGGATTTCGGATATTTTTGTGGCATTTTTACAAGATTTGGGGCTATTTTTCTGAGATTTGGGGTAATTTTGCAGGATTTTGGGACCAATTTGGGGATAATTTTTACAGGATTTAGGGGTGGATTTGGGGTTATTTTTTTGGGATTTGGAGCTGGATTTGGGGTATTTTTGTGGCATTTTTACAGGATTTGGGACTGGATTTGTGCCTATTTTTGTGGGATTTGGGATATTTTTGCAGGATTTTGGGACCAATTTGGGGATAATTTTGCAGGATTTGGGGTGGGATTTGGGGCTGTTTTTACGGGATTTGGGGCTGGATTTTGGGATAATTCTGCAGGATTTGGGTCAGGATTTGGGGTTATTTTTATAACATTTGGAGCTGTGTTTTTTGGGATTTGATGCCATTTTTTTGTGGAATTTTTTGGACATTCCCATCAGGCCATGCTGCTGCAACTTCTGACCGCCGTGGCCGCCTTGGCCGGAGCCGCCTGCTCCCTTCTGGCGGAAGGTTCCGGAACCGGAGCCGTCTCCGGGATCCTTCCCTTCACCGCCGGCGGATTCATTTACCTGGGAACCGTCTCCGTGCTTCCCGAAATCCTCCGGAATTCCGGCCCCGCCCAGGCCCTGCTGCAACTCCTGGCGCTGCTGGCCGGCGTGGCCATGATGCTGCTCATCGCCCACTACGAGTAGGGAATTCCCCCCCCAAAAAAATCCCCCAAAAATCCCCTCAAAATTCCCAAAAAATCCCCTCAAAATTCCCAAAAAACCCCGTGAAAATTCGCAAAAAATCCCACGAAAATTCGCCGAAAAAAAAAAATCCCAAAATTCGCGGGATTTTTTTTTTTTTTGCCATTCCTAAATTCATCCCCTTTTTTGGGACCAAAGCAAATCCTCGCCCCCTCTACCCTCGATAAAAATCGGGAGGTTTGGGGTTTGGCCAAAAAAAAAATGGGGGAAATTGGGGGATTCCCGGGGAATTTTGGGAATTTGGGAGGATGCGGGGGGGTGGGGGGGGTTGGGCAGGGTTTTTTTTTTATCACTAATGATGGCATTGCGGAGAATCATGATGGATTAAAATGTGAGGATGAGGACGAGACGAGAGCGTGGAATAAATTGGGGGAATGAGGGGGGAAAAAAACCGGGAAAAAACAAAAAAAAACGGCAAGAAAAAAACCCGGGGAAAAAAGGAAAAATGGGAGGGAAAAAGAAGGTGTTGGAGGACCGACCATAGAGTTGGGAGGGCCAGAGCGGCCCCTGGAGGCGCAGCTGTGTTCTCAGTGGTAACTTCCGGTTCCGCCATGTCGGGAAGGGCACTTCCGGTGCCGCCATGTTGGGAAGGTCAAACGGGAGGATTTTAGGGAATTTTTTGGGAGGCATTTTGGGGGGATTTTTGGGAATATTTTGAGGGATTTTTGGGAATGTTTTGGCGGATTTTATGAGGTGATTTTTTGGGAATATTTTGGGGAATTTTTTGGGACTTTTTGGGGAATTTTTTGGTAAAATTTGGGGGATTTTTTGAGGGAATTTTGGGGTGAGATTTGGAATTTTGGGGGGAATTTTTGGGGGCTTTTTGGAGGATTTTTTAGGGACTTTTTGGGGATATTTTGGGGGTTTTTTGGGGATTCTGGGGGGATTTTTTGGGACATTTTTGGGGGATTTTTGGTGAAATTTGGGGTTTTTTTTAGGAGATTTTGGGGACATTTTTTGGGGGGGGATTTTTGGGGATATTTTGAGGGATTTGGGGGAATTTTTCGGGACATTTTGGGGACATTTTTTGGGGAAGATTTTGGACTTTTTTGGGGGAAATCTGAGGGATTTTGGGACCCAAATCCCCTCCTCCCCCTCCCCCAATTTCTCACTGACACCAATCCCAAATTTTTTTTTGCCGGAAAATTCCAAAAGGGGTGGGGGAGGGGATTTAGGATCGACCCCTCCCCCCCTCTCTTTATTGCGGTGACATCGAGGGGAGACAGAATTCCAGAGGGGCAAAAAAAAGCGGGAATTTTGGGTGGATTTGAAGGGAATTTTGGGGGATTTGGGGTGGATTTTAAGGGAATTTTGAGTGGATTTTAGGGGGAGTTTGGAGAGGAAATTTGGGTGGAATTTTAGGGGGATTTTGGGGGAATTCCAGGGAAAATTTCAAGGAATTTCAAGGGGGTTTGGGGGTTTGGATTTGGGGGCAGTTCCCAGGAATTGGGGCTGGATTTGGGGGTAATTCCATGGGATTTGGGGCTGGATTTGGGGGCAATTCCCGGGATTTGGGGCTGGATTTGGGGTTGGATTTGGGGGTAATTCCCAGGATTTGGGGGCAATTCCCAGGATTTGGGGCAGGATTTGGGGCAGGATCTGGGAGCAATTCCAGGAATTCAGGGCAGGATCTGGGAGCAATTCCTGGGATTTGGCGCTGGATCTGGGGACATTTCCCAGGATTTGGGGCTGGATCTGGGGCAGGATCTGGGAGCAATTCCCAGGAATTCACGGCAGGATTTGGGGGCGATTCCCGGGAATTCAGAGCAGGATCTGGGATCAATTCCAGGAATTCAGGGCAGGATCTGGGAACAATTCCCAGGATCTGGGAACAATTCCAGGAATTCAGGGCAGGATCTGGGAACAATTCCCAGGATCTGGGAACAATTCCAGGAATTCAGGGCAGGATCTGGGAACAATTCCCAGGATCTGGGAACAATTCCAGGAATTCAGGGCAGGATCTGGGAACAATTCCCAGGATCTGGGAACAATTCCAGGAATTCAGGGCAGGATCTGGGAGCAATTCCCAGGATCTGGGAGCAATTCCAGGAATTCAGGGCAGGATCTGGGAACAATTCCAGGAATTCAGGGCAGGATCTGGGAACAATTCCAGGAATTCAGGGCAGGATCTGGGAACAATTCCGGGAATTCAGGGCAGGATCCGGGGCCGTTTCCCGGGAATTCAGAGCGTTCCGCGCTCGACGCGGGCGTGGCTGAGCTTCATCCCGCGGATGATGAGGACGGTGCCGGCGGCGATGCCGACGATGCCGACGGCCAAGCCCAGGGCGCAGATCGCCGTCTCCGTGGCCTCGGACGCCGGCGCCGGGATCTGGGGCTCTGGGAAAAGCGGGAATTGCCGGGAGATCCCAAAACCTTCCTCATCCTCGTCTTCATCCCGAAAAACCCTGAGTTCTTCCTCGTCCCAAATTCCTTCTTCATCCCGAATTGTTTCTCGTCCCAAATCCTCATCCCGAATTCTTCCTCTTCCTCATCCCAAATTCTTCCTCATCCCAAATCTTTCCTCATCCCAAATTATTTCTCATCCTGAATTCTTCCTCATCCCAAATCCTTCCTCTTCTTCCTCATCCCAAATTCTTCTTCATCCCAAATTCTTCCTCTTCCTCCTCATCCCAAATTTTTCCTCTTCCTTTTCTTCCTCATCCCAAATCCTTCCTCATCCCAAATTATTTCTCATCCCGAATTCTTCCTCATCCCAAATTCTTCCTCTTCCTTTTCTTCCTCATCCCAAATTTTTCCTCTTCCTTTTCTTCCTCATCCCAAATCCTTCATCCCAAATTTTTCCTCGTCTCAAATTATTTCCCATCCCAAATTCTCATCCCGGATTCTTCCTCTTCTTCCTCATCTCAAATTCTTCCTCATCCTGAATTCCTTCTTCATCCCAAATCCTTCATCCCAAATTATTTCTCATCCCAAATTCTTCCTCATCCCAAATTATTTCCCATCCCAAATTCTTCATCCCAAATTCTTCATCCCAAATTCTTCATCCCAAATTCCTCCTCCTCCTCTTCCCCATCCCATTCCCAGCCCATCCCGATCCTTTTTCCCCATCCCAAATCTTCCCTCCCCTCATCCCAATCCCTTTTCCCTCCCCATTCCTACCCCAAATCCCCCAATTCTCACCTCAAATCCCATTTTTTCCCAAATAATTCCCAAAAAATCCAAGAAATATCCTCAAAATCCAAATTTCCAAAATTCAAAAAAAAAAAATTCCAAAAAGTCCCAAAAAATCCCCAAAAAACCAAAAAAAAATCCCCAAAATTCAAAAAAATTCCCCAAAAAAATCCCAAGAAAACCCAAAAAAATCCCAAAAAATTCCCCCCCAAAAAAACCAAAAATTCAAAAAAATTCCCAAAAAATCCTCAAAAATTCCCCCAAAAAAATCCCCCAAAAAATCTCCCAAATAAATTAAAAAAAAAAAAAAAAGAAAATTCCCAAAAAATAAAAAAGAACAAAAAAATCCCCCCAAAATCCTTAAAAAATTTTTTAAAAATCCCAAAAAAATTCCCAAAATTCCCCAAAATTCCCGATTTTCCCCGGATCCTCACCCCAGTGCGCCACGCTGGCCTCGGCCAACCCCTCGTGCTCCACCTGGCAGTCGTAATAATCCAAATCCCCAAAAAATCCAAATAAATCCCCAAAAAAAGTCCCAAAAAATCCCCAAAAAATTCCCCAAAAAAATCCCCAAAAAATTCCAAAAAAATCAAAAAAAAAATTCAAAAAAATCTCCCAAAAATTTCCCAAATAAATTAAAACAAAAAAACCCAAAAATTCCCAAAAAATCCCAAAAAAACACCAAAAAATCCCCCCAAAATCCTTAAAAAATTCAAAAAAAATCCCAAAAAATTCCCAAAATTCCCCAAAATTCCCGATTTTCCCCGGATCCTCACCCCAGTGCGCCACGCTGGCCTCGGCCAACCCCTCGTGCTCCACCTGGCAGTCGTAATAATCCCCAGGCTGGGGGATGAAGGGCAGGTAGGAGAATTTCCGGAAGGTGTTATCCCGATCCGGATAAAAGGGCGTGTCCAACACCCCTTGGAATTCCGGGATCCCGTTCCGGAGCCAACGGAGCCGCAACACCGGCGGCCAGAACTTGGAGACGCAGCAGATGAGGATGTTGGGATCGCCCAGTTCCACGGCGTGTTTCGGGAAGAGCGCCACTTCCGGAGGAACTGGGAATGGTTAATTGGGAATGGTTAATTGGGAATGGTTTATTTGGGATAATTGGGAATGGTTTATTTGGGATAATTGGGAATGGTTTATTTGGGGTAATTGGGAATGGTTTATTTGGAATGGTTAATTGGGAATGGTTTATTGGGAATGGTTTATTGGGGATGGTTAATTGGGAATGTTGGGAATGGTTAATTGGGAGTGGTTAATTGTGAATAGTTAATTTGGGATAATTGGGAATGGTTTATTTGGGATAATTGGGAATGGTTTATTTGGAATGGTTAATTGGGAATGGTTTATTTGGGATAATTGGGAATGGCTTATTTGGGATAATTGGGAATGGTTTATTTGGAATGGTTAATTGGGAATGGTTTATTTGGAATGGTTAATTGGGAATGGTTTATTTGGGGTAATTGGGAATGGTTTATTTGGAATGGTTAATTGGGAATGGTTTATTTGGGGTAATTGGGAATGGTTTTTTTGGGATAATTGGGAATGGTTTATTTGGAATGGTTAATTGGGAATGGTTAATTGGGAATGGTTTATTTGGAATGGTTAATTGGGAATGGTTTATTTGGAATGGTTAATTGGGAATGGTTTATTTGGAATGGTTAATTGGGAATGGTTTATTTGGAATGGTTAATTGGGAATGGTTTATTTGGGATAATTGGGAATGGTTTATTTGGAATGGTTTATTTGGGATGGTTAATTGTGAATGTTGGGAATGGTTAATTGGGAGTGGTTAATTGTGAATAGTTAATTTGGGATAATTGGGAATGGTTTATTTGGAATGGTTAATTGGGAATGGTTAATTAGGAATGGTTAATTGGGAATAGTTAATTTGGGATAATTGGGAATGGTTTATTTGGAATGGTTAATTGGGAATGGTTTATTTGGAATGGTTAATTGGGAATGGTTTATTTGGGGTAATTGGGAATGGTTTATTTGGGATAATTGGGAATGGTTTCTTTGGAATGGTTTATTGGGAATGGTTTATTTGGGGTAATTGGGAATGGTTTATTTGGGATAATTGGGAATGGTTTATTTGGAATGGTTTATTGGGAATGGTTTATTTGGAATGGTTAATTGGGAATGGTTTATTTGGGATAATAGGGAATGGTTTATTGGGGATAATTGGGAATGGTTTATTTGGAATGGTTTATTGGGAATGGTTTATTGGGGATGGTTAATTGGGAATGTTGGGAATGGTTAATTGGGAGTGGTTAATTGTGAATAGTTAATTTGGGATAATTGGGAATGGTTTATTTGGGATAATTGGGAATGGTTTATTTGGAATGGTTTATTGGGAATGGTTAATTGGGAATGGTTTATTTGGGATGGTTAATTGGGAATGTTGGGAATGGTTAATTGGGAGTGGTTAATTGTGAATAGTTAATTTGGGATAATTGGGAATGGTTTATTTGGGATAATTGGGAATGGTTTATTTGGAATGGTTTATTGGGAATGGTTAATTGGGAATGGTTTATTTGGGATGGTTAATTGGGAATGTTGGGAATGGTTAATTGGGAGTGGTTAATTGTGAATAGTTAATTTGGGATAATTGGGAATGGTTTATTTGGAATGGTTAATTGGGAATGGTTTATTTGGAATGGTTAATTGGGAATGGTTTATTTGGGGTAATTGGGAATGGTTTATTTGGGATAATTGGGAATGGTTTATTTGGAATGGTTAATTGGGAATGGTTAATTAGGAATGGTTAATTGGGAATAGTTTATTTGGGATAATTGGGAATGGTTTATTTGGGATAATTGGGAATGGTTTATTGGGAATGGTTTATTGGGAATGTTGGGAATGATTTATTGGGAATGGTTTATTGGCAATGGTTAATTAGGGATGGTTAATGGGGATTATTTGGAATGGTTTATTGGGAATGGTTAATTTGGGATCATTTAGAATGGTTTATTGGGATTGGTTAATTGGGGATTATTTGGAATGGTTGGGAATGGTTTATTTGGGATAATTGGTAATGGTTTATTTGGAATGTTGGGAATGGTTTGCAATGGTTTATTTGGGAATAGTTAATTGGGAATGGTTAATTTGGGATTATTGGGAATGGTTAATTGGGAATAGTTTATTTGGAATGGTTAATTGGGGATGGTTTATTTGGAATGGTTTATTGGTGATAATTTGGAATGGTTAATTGGGAATGGTTAATTGGGAATGTTGGGAATGGTTTATTTGGGAATGGTTAATTGGGAACGGTTAATTGGGAATGGTTTATTTGGGAATGGATTATTTGGGATGGTTTATTGGGAATGGTTTACTGGGAATGTTGGGAATGGTTTATCGGGAATGATTTATTGGGAATGCTTTGGGAACACCCCCACTTCCGGAGGCACTGGGAAGGGAGGAGAATCCCAGTGGGAATGGCTTGGGAATGATTGACTGGAATGGTTGGGAATTGGGAATAATTGGGAATAATTGGGAATTGGGAATAATTGGGAATAATTGGGAATTGGGAATAATTGGGAATAATTGTGAATAATTGGGAATTGGGAGGGGTTGGGGCAGATTCAGCCAAAATCCGGATCGGATCCAGACGGGATTGGGGTGAAATCCCCTGGAATTTTGTTGGATCCAGGAATTGCACCAAAACCCTTGGAATTACACTGAAAAATCCCAGATTTCCCCAAAATCCCTCTGGAATTCCCTCCCAAAATAAAAACCCCTCCCCCCTCCTCCTCCTCCCGCTCTCCCACGGCTCCGTTACCGCTGGGAATCCGGGAATTGTTGGAAGCGGCCATGGAATTTTCCAGATTCTGTTTGTCGATGGCGATGTTCTGGAGCGCTCCCTGAGCCTCGAAACTGGTGAATTCCTGGAATTCCGGGAGCCTCCAAACGGTCTCCTCGTTTTCCACGTGGAAAATCTCGTCGCCGTCGAAGTCGAACATGAACTCGGAGCTGTCGATCGCTAAATCCAGGGATTTTTGGTAGAATTCCGTCTGGGTGATGGTGTGGCGCACTGGGAATCGGGAATTCCGTGGGGTTAGAAAGGGGAATTGGGGGTTTCTGCTCAAAATCCTGGGAAATTGGTGATTTCTGCTCATAATCCTGGGAAACCTGTGATTTCTGCTCAAAATCCTAAGAAATTTGGTGATTTCTCCTTAAAATCCTTGAGAAATTGGGAATTTCTGCTCAAAATCTTGAGCAATTTGGGGATTTCTGCTCAAAATCTTTGGCAAATTAGAGATTTCTGGTCAAAATCCTGGGAAATTTGGCAATTTCTGCTTAAAATCCTGGGAAATTTGGTAATTTCTGTTCAAAATCCCAGGAAAGTTGGGATATTTTGCTTAAAATCCCAGGAAATTAAAGATTCCTGCTCAAAATGCTTGGAAAATTAAAGATTTCTGCTCAAAATCCTGAGAATTTGGTGATTTCTCATTAAAATCCTGGGAAATTTTGAGATTTCTGCTCAAAATCTTGAGAAATTTGGCAATTTCTGCTAAAAAATCTGGGAAATTTTGGGATTTCTGCTCAAAATCCCTGGGAAAAAGGGGGCTGGGGACACAGAGAGTCCAAAAATCCTGGGAAATTGGGATTTAGGACTCCCAGAGCCCCAAAATCCCGGGATCAGGAGAATTCAGGAGGATCCACACCCCAAAATCCTGGAAAAAGAGGAAGTTTGGGCTCGCCCAACCCCAAAATTCCAGGGAAAAGAGGATGTGAGAACACCCAGTTCCCCAAATTTTGGGAACGGGGGGGGTTGGGAACGCCCAGACCCCAAAAATCCGGGAAAAAAAAGGGATTTAGGAACTTCCAGAGCCTGAAAATCCTGGAAAATTTTAGTTTGGGAACACCCAAACCCCCAAAATCCTGGGAAAAACCAGAATTTGGGAATGCCCAGATCGCCAGATTTTGGGTACAGGGGGGTTTGGACACGCCCAGACTCAAAAAAATCCTGGAAAAGAGGAATTTAGGCACTTCCAGAGCTTGAAAATACCGGGAAAAGAAAATGTGGGAATTCCCAGTTCCCCAAATTTTGGGTACAGGGGGGTTTGGACACCCCCAGAGCCCCAAAATAAAAGGAAAAGAGGATTTTGGGCACCAAAATTCTGTAAAAATCCTGGAAATTGGGATTTGGGTACTCCCAGAGCCCCAAAATCCTGGGGAAAAAAAGGGATTTGGGAATTTTCAGTTCCTGAAATTTTACGTACAGGGGGGTTTGGAGAATCCAAGCCCTCCCAAAATCTTTGGAATGGGGAGGTTTGGGAAATCCCTGCACCCCAAAATGCTGGAAAAAGAAGAATTCGACCACACCCAAACCCCAAAAACTCGGAAAAGGAGGAAAAACCCCCAAAAAATCAGAAAGTTGGGACAACGCCTTTCCCGAAAAATCCCAAAAATATCCCCAAAAAAATATCCCCACATTTCCCAAAATCCAAAGAACCCCAAATCCCAGCCCGGCCACTCCAAGACCCCCCCAGACCCCACCTTCGACCCCCCAAATTCCGGGCAGGGTCAGAACCAGCAGCAACAGGCGGGGGAGGCTCGTGGATCCATCCATGGCTCCAGGAATTCCCGGGAAATCGGGAACGGTCGCTGCTGCTCCCAGAAAAGCGGCGGCGAAATGGGGGGACCGGCAGTGGGGGCGAAGCACCCCAAAAAGCTCTCAGCCAATGAGAGAGAAGCGTAGGTGTTACGTCATCGGTTGCCGGGTAGAGCCTTCAAAAAATGAGTCCTCATAAAAAATTCGGACCAATCGGAGAGCGGAGCTCTGGTGACTCATCGGTTGCTGGGTAGAGCTTCAGGAAAACGGACCCCAAACAGAACGGACCAATGAGACCGCGCAAAAAAAACTTCAGCCAATGAAAAAACGGGAAAAAACAAGCGCAGCCTATCAAAGCTCGCCCGAAAATCACGGCCGGCCAATCAGAGCGCGCGGGGTTAATGACCTGGAGTGGATCGGGAGCGGCGCTCCCAGTCCAGAGCCGATTCTTGGTAGCCCGCGGCCCCTGCCCGGCGCTGGCCATGGCGCGTGTGGCGGCAGCTGGGGCCCTACTGGTGCCACTGGTGCTGCTGGCAGCGGCCCCGGCTGCGGGCGCGGAGCTCTCGGGTGAGCGGGGCCGGCCGGGCGGGACGCGCTGGCCCGGGGGGAGGAGGGGGAAAATGGGGCGCTGCGAGCCCCGAGGTGAAGGGGGAAAAGGAGGGGACTCCCCGAAAGATGAGCGGGAGGGGCTGAGGGATGGCGGAGGGGGAGGGAGGGGAGGGAGAGAGGGGGAAAGTGGGGAAAAGGGGAGAGGGGACCCCAAAACTGAGCGGGAGGGGGCTGGGCTTTGGGGGAATTGGGTTCAAAAGGTGGAGAAAAGGAAAAAAAGGGGGAAGGGGAGCCCCAAAGTGATTTGGGGCGCGGCTGGAAATGGCGGCGGGAGGGGATGCGGAAGGGGAAATGGCAGAAGGGCGGCGAGGAGGAAGCGGCAGCGCGGGCAGGAGGGACCCAGGGCGGGCGTGGGGCACGGGGGGAGCGGAGCGCGGATCCGGGGAGACCCCCGGAGCTCTGGGGGTGCTGGGGGGGCTCTCCCTGATCTGTGTCCGGCACATCCAGGGGTGTTCCAGGAGATGATGAAGTCCGAGTGTCACTTCCTGAACGGCACCGAGCGGGTGAGGTTCGTGGAGCGGTACATTTACAACCGGGAGCAGTTCGCGCACTTCGACAGCGATGTGGGGCGGTACGTGGGGGACACCCCCTTAGGGGAGATGAATGCCAAGTACTGGAACGGCAAACCGGAATTACTGGAGTACGCTCGAACTGCGGTGGACTGGTACTGCCGGCACAACTACCAGGTGTCCACACCGTTCCTGGTGGAGCGCCGAGGTGAGCGCGGGGCAGAGCGTGTCCCCTCGGGCCCTGCCCTGCCAATGTCCCTGGAACCCCTCAAAACCTCCCTGGCAATCGGCCCCGAGCCCTCGGCCCTCCCTGTGCCCATCCCCGGGGCCTCCAGTCCCTCCCAGTCCCTCCCAGTGCCACCACAGTCCCTCCCAGTGCCACCACAGTCCCTCCCAGTGCCACCACAGTGCCCCCAACTCCTTCCCAGTCCATTCCCATGTCATTCTCACTTCTCTCTAAGACCTCCACCCTCTCCAGGTTCCCCCGAATCCATTCCAAGTCCCTCCCAGTCCATTCCCAGTCCCTTCCAGTGCCCCGCGCTTCATTCCCAGTTCATCCCAGTGCCACTACAATCCCTCCAACTCCTTCCCAGTCCATTCTCAGTCTATTCCCAGAACAATTTCTCTTCAATCCAAGACGTCCTCCTTCTCACAGAGCCACCACATCCATTCCCAGTTCATCCCAGTCCATTCCCAGACCCTCCCAGTCCATTCCAGTGAAACAACCACCCCTCTCCCCTCTCTCCCAGTTCCTCCCAGTCCATTCCCAGTGTCTCTCCCCTCTCTCCCAGTTCCTCCCAGTCCATTCCAGTGTCTCTCCCCTCTCTCCCAGTCCCTCCCAGTCCATTCCCAGTGTCTCTCCCCTCTCTCCCAGTCTATCCCAGTCCATTCCCAGTGTCTCTCCCCTCTCTCCCAGTTGCCCCCAGTCCATTCCCAGTGTCTCTCCCCTCTCTCCCAGTCCCTCCCAGTCCATTCCCAGTGTCTCTCCCCTCTCTCCCAGTTGCCCCCAGTCCATTCCCAGTGTCTCTCCGCTCTCTCCCAGTCCCTCTCACTCCATTCCCAGTGTCTCTCCCCTCTCTCCCAGAGCCCCCCAGCGTTTCCATCTCGCTGGTGCCCTCGAGCTCCCAGCCCGGGCCCGGCCGCCTGCTCTGCTCCGTGATGGATTTCTACCCTGCCGAGATCCAGGTGCGCTGGTTCCAGGGCCAGCAGGAGCTCTCGGGCCACGTGGTGGCCACTGACGTGGTGGCCAACGGCGACTGGAGCCAGCAGCTGCTGGTGCTGCTGGAAACCCCCCCCCGGCGCGGGGCCACCTACACGTGCCAGGTGGAGCACGTCAGCCTGGAGCAGCCCCTGAGGCGGAGCTGGGGTACGGGGCAGCCACTGGGGGGGCCGGGAGAGGCACTGGCAGCCACTGGGAGCCAGCTGGAGATGGGCCGGGCTGAAGTGGGACAGGGGCTGGGGGTCCCGAAGGGCTGGGAAGGGCTCGGAAGGATGTCGGGGAGGGTGGGATGGGCTTGCGGGGGTGCTGCCGGGCGCTGGGAGGGACTTTGGGGGTGCTGGGTGGAAGCGGGAGGGATTGGAGGGAGGCGGGAGGGGCTGGGAGGAGATCGGGGATTGGAGAGCGGGCATTGGGATGAGGTTGGCTGTGCTGGGAAGGGACTGGGAGGGCTCTGGGTGAGTCCTGCTGGGGCTGGGAAGGGACTGGGAGAGGGTTTGGGGGTCCCGGGTCGGTGGGGGGAGCAGCTGGGAGGGGTGTGCGGGATGGAGAGAGGGACGGGAGGGGCTTTGGTGGGTCCTGGGGAGGCCGGGAAGGGAGCGGGAGGAGGGTTCAGGGGCTCCCGGGTGGGCTGGGGGTGAACAAAAAGGTGCTTGGAGGGTCTGGGGGTGTCCGTGCGAGGTTTTCGGGGGTCTCCTGACCCCCTTGGACCCCCCCAGAGATGCCGCCGGACGCCGGGCGCAGCAAGATGCTGACGGGGATCGGGGGCTTCGTGCTGGGCTTCGTCTTCCTGGCGCTGGGGCTCGGCTTCTACGTGCGCAAGAAGGTGAGGGGGGGTGCCGGGGGTGGTGTCCCGCCGTCGCCCGGAGCGTGTGCGCTCCCCCCGGGGCCCCCAGCCCTTTGTCACCCCCTTTTCTCTGCCCACAGAGCTCCTGAGCCGCCGGCGGCCGCAGCCCCTCCCCGTGGCCTCGGGCCCGCCCGGGACCCCCCGCTCCGTCCCCGCGCTGATTTTGGGGGGGTCCTGTGCCCCCCCCGCCCAGCCCCGCTGCCACTCTGGCCCCGCCCGCCTGCTCCCAGTGCTCCCAATAAAGCTTCCCAGTTGGATGCGGGGCCCTTGCTGGCGGCGCTGGGGAGGGACTCGGGGGGGCAGAAAAGGCCCGGCCGGGATGGGCAATGGGGACCCCCGGCTGTCCCCGCCGTGTCCCCCCGCCCTGGGGGCCTCGGGAGGCGCCTGAAGCCCAGCCCGGCACCCGGGGAAGCCCAAAAGGCGCCGGGAGCCCCCGAAGCCGCCGGGGGCGTTTGGGGAATGATTTGGGGAGGGGGCGAGCGGGGGGAGCCGGGCCCAGAGCCCAGCGCTGCCCCAGCCCGAAGCGGGCCGGCTCCATCCCGGCTCCGAGCGCGGGGGGCGGAGGGATCGGGAACCGGGGGAGGAGGAGGAGGAGGAAGAAGGAACCGCGAAGAAGAGGAAGAGGACGGAGAGAGGAAGAAGAGAAGCAGCAAAAGCAGGAAATGGAGGAACGGGAGGAAGAGCAGCAGCAGAACCCCGCGGTTTCCCCTCCCCCCATCCCCTGAAAGGACCCCTGGGACCCCCAAATTCCCTCTGGATCATCCCCCGGAACCCCGATCGGGCCAGGGAAGGGAAACCCCCAGAACCCCAAAACGGAGAGATCAGAGAGGGGGGAAAATCCCGGGTGGATTTTTTGGGCCGGATCGCGGTGATTTGGGGGCTCTTAGGGACACAAAACCCGCGGAGATTTCCAGAGCGGGACCTGGGCAGGAGGAAAATCCCCAGGGCAAGGCGATCCCGCCCGGATTTTACCATAAAAAACCGGGATTCGTCATTCCCAAAGTCCAGGAGGGGGGACAAACCCAGCCCAGGGAAAGCAAAACACCCACATTTTCTTGGGAATTCCGGAGTGAGGATCGGGAATTGACGGGAGGAGGAGGAAGAGGAGGAAGAGGAGGAAAAGGAGGAGGAGTAAGAGGAGGAGGAAGAGGAAGAAAAGGATCAGGAGGAAGAAGAGTCGGGGTGGGTGTCCGGCGGTGCCGCGAGTGCCCCGAGCGCGGGCCGAGCTCCGTGCGCTGCTGCAGCTCCATCCCCCGCGGGAGCCCCCGCGCTGGATCATCCCCGGGGAGCCGCGGGGCGCAGAGCCCCGCTCGGGGGGATCCCCGCTGCCTGCGGGAGGCCTCGCAGGGATTTCCTTCCCGGCCGGGCCGGCCTTTGCCCAGGGATCTGGGCCGGTGCCCGGCCCCGGCCAGGAAGCCTCGCTGCCATTTGCTGTGCCCCGCGCGGCTGCGGCCGACAGCGACAGAGCGCCTTCGGTGCCATCGGCCACCCCTCAGCCCATCGCTGGCCACACCTCAGCTCCCCGCACCCCAAACTTGCCCCCACCTCCCCCCAAAAATCCCCATCCCTGGGTTGGGGCGTAGCGGAACAATCTGAGCCAATCAGCATCGAGCGTTGAGGCGCTGCAGCCAATGAGAGCGCGGGGCGTTTGGCGTCTCATCGGTTGCCGGGTAGAGCCTGTGGGAAATGGCTCCCCAAAAATTCATCCAACCCTTCTTCCTCCTCCTCCCCCTCCTCCTCCTCCTCCTCCCCCGGTTCCCGATCCCTCCGCCCCCCGCGCTCGGAGCCGGGATGGAGCCGGCCCGCTTCGGGCTGGGGCAGCGCTGGGCTCTGGGCCCGGCTCCCCCCGCTCGCCCCCTCCCCAAATCATTCCCCAAACGCCCCCGGCGGCTTCGGGGGCTCCCGGCGCCTTTTGGGCTTCCCCGGGTGCCGGGCTGGGCTTCAGGCGCCTCCCGAGGCCCCCAGGGCGGGGGGACACGGCGGGGACAGCCGGGGGTCCCCATTGCCCATCCCGGCCGGGCCTTTTCTGCCCCCCCGAGTCCCTCCCCAGCGCCGCCAGCAAGGGCCCCGCATCCAACTGGGAAGCTTTATTGGGAGCACTGGGAGCAGGCGGGCGGGGCCAGAGTGGCAGCGGGGCTGGGCGGGGGGGGCACAGGACCCCCCCAAAATCAGCGCGGGGACGGAGCGGGGGGTCCCGGGCGGGCCCGAGGCCACGGGGAGGGGCTGCGGCCGCCGGCGGCTCAGGAGCTCTGTGGGCAGAGAAAAGGGGGTGACAAAGGGCTGGGGGCCCCGGGGGGAGCGCACACGCTCCGGGCGACGGCGGGACACCACCCCCGGCACCCCCCCTCACCTTCTTGCGCACGTAGAAGCCGAGCCCCAGCGCCAGGAAGACGAAGCCCAGCACGAAGCCCCCGATCCCCGTCAGCATCTTGCTGCGCCCGGCGTCCGGCGGCATCTCTGGGGGGGTCCAAGGGGGTCAGGAGACCCCCGAAAACCTCGCACGGACACCCCCAGACCCTCCAAGCACCTTTTTGTTCACCCCCAGCCCACCCGGGAGCCCCTGAACCCTCCTCCCGCTCCCTTCCCGGCCTCCCCAGGACCCACCAAAGCCCCTCCCGTCCCTCTCTCCATCCCGCACACCCCTCCCAGCTGCTCCCCCCACCGACCCGGGACCCCCAAACCCTCTCCCAGTCCCTTCCCAGCCCCAGCAGGACTCACCCAGAGCCCTCCCAGTCCCTTCCCAGCACAGCCAACCTCATCCCAATGCCCGCTCTCCAATCCCCGATCTCCTCCCAGCCCCTCCCGCCTCCCTCCAATCCCTCCCGCTTCCACCCAGCACCCCCAAAGTCCCTCCCAGCGCCCGGCAGCACCCCCGCAAGCCCATCCCACCCTCCCCGACATCCTTCCGAGCCCTTCCCAGCCCTTCGGGACCCCCAGCCCCTGTCCCACTTCAGCCCGGCCCATCTCCAGCTGGCTCCCAGTGGCTGCCAGTGCCTCTCCCGGCCCCCCCAGTGGCTGCCCCGTACCCCAGCTCCGCCTCAGGGGCTGCTCCAGGCTGACGTGCTCCACCTGGCACGTGTAGGTGGCCCCGCGCCGGGGGGGGGTTTCCAGCAGCACCAGCAGCTGCTGGCTCCAGTCGCCGTTGGCCACCACGTCAGTGGCCACCACGTGGCCCGAGAGCTCCTGCTGGCCCTGGAACCAGCGCACCTGGATCTCGGCAGGGTAGAAATCCATCACGGAGCAGAGCAGGCGGCCGGGCCCGGGCTGGGAGCTCGAGGGCACCAGCGAGATGGAAACGCTGGGGGGCTCTGGGAGAGAGGGGAGAGACACTGGGAATGGACTGGGGGCAACTGGGAGAGAGGGGAGAGACACTGGGAATGGACTGGGAGCAACTGGGAGAGAGGGGAGAGACACTGGGAATGGACTGGGATAGACTGGGAGAGAGGGGAGAGACACTGGGAATGGACTGGGGGCAACTGGGAGAGAGGGGAGAGACACTGGGAATGGACTGGGAGCAACTGGGAGAGAGGGGAGAGACACTGGGAATGGACTGGGGGCAACTGGGAGAGAGGGGAGAGACACTGGGAATGGACTGGGGGCAACTGGGAGAGAGGGGAGAGACACTGGGAATGGACTGGGGGCAACTGGGAGAGAGGGGAGAGACACTGGGAATGGACTGGGAGGAACTGGGAGAGAGGGGAGAGACACTGGGAATGGACTGGGAGGAACTGGGAGAGAGGGGAGAGGGGTGGTTGTTTCACTGGAATGGACTGGGAGGGTCTGGGAATGGACTGGGATGAACTGGGAATGGATGTGGTGGCTCTGTGAGAAGGAGGACGTCTTGGATTGAAGAGAAATTGTTCTGGGAATAGACTGAGAATGGACTGGGAAGGAGTTGGAGGGATTGTAGTGGCACTGGGATGAACTGGGAATGAAGCGCGGGGCACTGGAAGGGACTGGGAATGGACTGGGAGGGACTTGGAATGGATTCGGGGGAACCTGGAGAGGGTGGAGGTCTTAGAGAGAAGTGAGAATGACATGGGAATGGACTGGGAAGGAGTTGGGGGCACAGTGGTGGCACTGGGAGGGACTGTGGTGGCACTGGGAGGGACTGTGGTGGCACTGGGATGAACTGGGAATGAAGCGCGCGGCACAGGGAGGCCGAGTCCAGCGCGGGGCGCTCGGCACTGCGGGTCTGCCCGGCAACTGATGAGTCATCAGAGACACGCGCGCTGATTGGCTGAAGAGCGAGAGCCCAACGCCCGGCCCAGATGGAGATGCGGGGGGCCACTGTGAGAAACTGGGATAAACTGGGAGGGACTGGGAGGGACTGGAGGCCCCGGGGATGGGCACAGGGAGGGCCGAGGGCTCGGGGCCGATTGCCAGGGAGGTTTTGAGGGGCTGCAGGGACATTGGCAGGGCAGGGCCCGAGGGGACACGCTGTGCCCCGCGCTCACCTCGGCGCTCTACCAGGAACGGGGTGACAACCCGGTAGTTGTGCCGGCAGTAATTGTCCACTTGGCCCCGCTTGTACTCCAGGTATTCCGGTTTGCCGTTCCAGTACTTGGCATTCATCTCCCCAAAGGGGGTGTCCCCCACGAACAGCCCCACATCGCTGTCGAAGTGCGTGAACTGCTCCCGGTTGTAAATGTGCCGCTCCACGAACCTCACCCGCTCGGTGCCGTTCAGGAAGTGACACTCGGACTTCATCATCTCCTGGAACACCCCTGGATGTGCCGGACACAGATCAGGGAGAGCCCCCCCAGCACCCCCAGAGCTCCGGGGGTCTCCCCGGATCCGCGCTCCGCTCCCCCCGTGCCCCACGCCCGCCCTGGGTCCCTCCTGCCCGCGCTGCCGCTTCCTCCTCGCCGCCCTTCTGCCATTTCCCCTTCCGCATCCCCTCCCGCCGCCATTTCCAGCCGCGCCCCAAATCACTTTGGGGCTCCCCTTCCCCCTTTTTTTCCTTTTCTCCACCTTTTGAACCCAATTCCCCCAAAGCCCAGCCCCCTCCCGCTCAGTTTTGGGGTCCCCTCTCCCCTTTTCCCCACTTTCCCCCTCTCTCCCTCCCCTCCCTCCCCCTCCGCCATCCCTCAGCCCCTCCCGCTCATCTTTCGGGGAGTCCCCTCCTTTTCCCCCTTCACCTCGGGGCTCGCAGCGCCCCATTTTCCCCCTCCTCCCCCCGGGCCAGCGCGTCCCGCCCGGCCGGCCCCGCTCACCCGAGAGCTCCGCGCCCGCAGCCGGGGCCGCTGCCAGCAGC